AGGTCCCACATTATACGGCTTTGTTATTTAATTTAATGGGTGTTGTAGCAACATGCTTTACGATTTCTATTTCCCCTGCACTGCCCTCCCGCCCTTTCGTAAAACAAAAACACGTGGATTATTGAAATGTTAATCGGTTGAATTTGAAACCAAAAAGACCAAGACAAAAGCAAACAATTTGTTTTCTGCTTTCATTTCATTGCTTTTACACACGCATTGCACAATGCGTTGCAGTAGGTATTGTGTAAATAAATAGATAAATTGGGTTGTGTGTGTGTTTATACAGCCTAGAGCTTGGTCTGCCTCACAGGGGCGCCGAGTCTCCCAGCTGTAGATGAGAAATTTAGCCAGTGCGGTACAGCCGCTAGCCTGGGGTTTTTAACGTGCATCACGCAGTAGTGATACACGACCGCACACCGGTACGATGCTCATCATATCGAAACGGGCAGGGGTGGGGCTCGAACCCAGGATCCCTGGGTTCTGCAGCGCGAGCTTTCGCTCCGCGTGCTCCGAGCTGGTGTGCGCAAGACCACTCGGCCACCGATCCCCCTAAATAAATAGATAGAAAGCCATAGTGCAGCGTTTCCTGCGTCACTTGCTGAAGGCCGGCACGGGTCGGAGATGAACCACGAGCGCTGCGTCAGTGTTCGGCTTGGAGTCCTGTCCTGGCTGATAGACCTTCCCGGAAAATCCCAGGAGACCTTGCAACGAGAGGTATTGTGGGGCTGTTGGGATGTACGCTCGTGTAGGCTCGAACGCTTTGTATACGCTGGTAGCGACACGATGCATTTTTTCTTATTGTTGGGAGCTCAGATAACACGCAGAAATTAAGCGAACGGAAAAAAAGGTAATCACATACTCTGCTTTGCTTTCCATCTGGATTCTCTGCGTTTTGAAATAAGGAACTGTTAAACCAACGTCAACTTCGTCTTCGCTTCTTGGATGATTTCACGTGCCGTACATCTGAACGTCACAATGCGTAAAGCAGACGCTAGGGGCACCATATATTTCCGAAAAGGTCTATTGAACGCGAGGTTCATCCGACCGCTGATGTAGCAATTGCGTCCAATATGCTCCCCGCTGTGGCCATCAGTAGATTACGCACAGAATTGAGCACTACAGTTTTCTATCTAGGATGTGCTGACATTTGTAGACTTACGTTTGCTCCTCTTTCTTGCGTCAGAAACATAACAATGCTAAAATCCGTTTCTTTTTTGTTTTGTTTTTAATAACAGTCTGCCCTATTGTGTTATTTTCATTTCATCTCTCACTGATACTTGACCGCTATCTACACCCAGAAGTCTCGAGTACTGCGTTTCAGACGTGCGACAAAGAAAGATGTATTGTCCCAGCACGTGTGTTAGGAAACGTCACAATTTCTTTAATTCTACTATTCTTATACTTAACGAATATGCTCTTTTTTAGAAAGTATACTCTATAAGCTTGTTTACCAAAAAAATGTAGACCAGATGGGAATGACGGTGACTACGCAGAGTGGTCCTTCAGTAACAGGGCCAATATAAGAAAAATCAGTCGTTACATGTTATCTTCTAGTTTACATTTTTTCTGCATCTGTACGTGGGTGGGGAGGTGACATGAAGAAGTGCATAAGTTGGTAATATCTGATCTGAATATGCGTATTTTTATTTTTAGGGGGCTGTACAGAAATTCACGGCATGTACAGGCGATATCTAAAACACATTTTCAATCACCGCAGAAACTGCACGCACTGTCTTCGTTTTCGAGAACCAACTACTACAAAAATACAATGTTCTACGATTTCGTGTACGGCCTGCTGTCCGGTACCACAAGTATCAGATCTATGACAGTAGTTGAGACAAGAAAGACTAACGAAATAACTTCTGTAGTGACGCTGAAAAGGGTAACTCTGCTCAATTGTTAAGAAACCATTGGGAAAAATGAGCTAGCCGTAGTTTGAAGAGTACAAAAAACAAACATTGTTTTTCACTGCGAAAGTTGGAGTGGAGATGCCTTGCAAAAACTTAAGTTTGATTGAAAAGAAAGCAAAGATGGGCTGACTTCTTAACATGTCGTCTTTAATACACAATATAATTGTCTTTGTTATGTAATTGGAAATAAGGGACTAAACACGAACTGCATGCAAATGCTAATAAAATGTTTGATATTCAGTTCGTAATTTCATTTTCTTAGCGTGAGTTGGACATTATGGTCAGAACGTCCTCCCCCCCCCCCCCCCCCCCCCCGGCTTCCCACAAAAATAAATAAATAAATAAATGAAAGCTACGAGGTTGCCAAGGTCTTAGTACTATAGACCAGCACGCTGTTTACAAACAAGTTCCGCGCCTATCTGGTTTCTGCGCGAACGCAGAAACCAGACTGGCGCGAAAGAAAGAGTCTGCGCATGCGCAGTTCAGACAGAAGCACCACCGCAATGACGTGACGTCATGAAGGTCAGTTGGTGCATAGTCCGAATGTCAGCAAGCGAAACACCATTGCGATGTCATGCGCCCCGCCTTTGAGCGCATCTTCTGAACCGCGAGAAAGTTTCGGTTTTCCGGGGTGCACAGCTTCCGACCTGGGAGCGACATTCAACCTTTTAACGATGGTCGTCTAAGGAAATTGCCGTCGAATGTAGAAGAGTGAAGCTTCAGGAAAATAAAAATTGTGAACTAAACTATTTCTTTTTTAACTCGACATTGGCGTATGCATTTTGCCGCTCAATGGACCTTTTCTTAGACGCGTTCTGCGTACGTTCGAGCGCCCGGCGATGCCAAGCCGCGGAACCCGGCACGAAAAATCGAGGAAATTCGGAAGGAGGCTGTGGATGAGCGAGTAGAACACGTAATTGCAGCATATATATAATTGTGTTACACAAAAGAAGAGAAAGTGGACGGATAGAAACACCCGACGTTTAGGTGGACGCCACGGATGCCCCTCTCTAAAGTCGCGTTGGGCACGCGCCGCAGCTCAGAGAGCGAAGAAACTGGTAGCGTAGCTCCCAATATCGATTGGTAGCGCAGGTAGGTCACTTCCTCGATTTTTAGTTCGTGCAGTCACCGCCTGGTGCCGTCGATATATGGAACAGGTCCGATTCTCTAGCCATCAGCCTCAAGTGAGTTGAAGGTAGTCCAGGTCAACGTTATTAGAACCAACTCAGTTTTGTAACTCCGCTCCGGAGGGGAGTCCTTTTGCGTGGCGCCTGTTAGAGGGCGCGCGCTCCAAATTAATACTCGCTATCATCATTATTGACGGCGCGCTTGTGGCCGTTGCATCTGGCCCACTGAGCTTACGGATGTTCGTGGCGCTTTTTTCTGACAGTAGCAGACGACTTTCAAATTTTTTCTGCTGCAGTTGGTAGTCATCGGCACATCTAGTATTACAGTATGTACAAACTTGCCCTGATTGTAGCCACCGGATTGTGGCGCCGACGAATTCGGGGTGTTCGAAACAAATCGCGCTGTCAGCGCAGCTAAGGCAGCAGCATTTTAGAATAATCCAAAGCGAATGTCAAAACGGTCGTAGCGCTTTTTATGCTCAAATTGTAATTTTTACTGGCGAAAGGGCAAAAATTAACCAAAAACCATGCTGAACCTCGAGAGGAGTCGGGACTCGCAAGCAGCCGCGGAGCAGTAGCAGACGAAAACGCGTGGAATAATCAGAGCTCTGGGAATAATGCGCCGGCAGCGCCACCTAGCTGCAAAAAAATCGGACACGGTTTCGGACCCGCTTCAATGTACAGCGTCTATGGGAAGTTCCATAACTGAGTTGATCTAGTAACCTTGGTCCAGGTGTCGGCTTGAGCTCATATATCTTTATCATTCAAGAACCTCACAGTGAGAATTTAACAAAATTGTTTTATAAATACCATAAGCAGCGATAAATTGCCAAAAGAATGAAACGTGCTTGACTCTAGTGCAGACACGTGCTTTCTTGAAGCACGTGTGTTTCGGAATTGGTTTATGATCTTTTAGCGGGACTTGAATATGACAAGCAAAAAAGCCATAAAGAAAAAAAATAAAACCCAAATGCTATTACACCTACAGGAATAGGCCTCTTGCGTTGCCCAGTAGGTGCAGCGAAAATGAACTTGTTAGGACTTGTTTTGGGTAGTACAAACTTGAGCGTCTCAAACTGTGACACATGTAGGAGAGTGCCTGTTCTAGTGCGGAACGCGCTAACGAGGAATATACGGAGAACCAAAAAAAAAAAAAAATGCCCTCGAGGCACGGGTAAAGTTAGGACGATAAGAGCGCGAACTAAGAACGGCCGAATCACGCGTTCCTAAGAAAAAAAGGGGGAAAAATAACGTCGGGACGTCAGATGTTTTGACGTCACCACCCGGATATAAGAGAAGCGTAACCTGGAGGTGGTGGCATGATTCCTGAACTTTCGATTGTCTTGCGGCGTTGAATCTAGCCGATTTCTGACCGTCGAAAGGTGTTTTCTGCTCTTCAGCACGACGCAGGAAGGAAAAAGCTCATCGAGGTCTCCACAAGTAGTGCGAGGCCCATTCAGGTGAGTTTGTACTACCCAAAATGAGAACACCGCAGTTAGTTCGAAGCTTCAGCGCAGGAGGCCTATGGCGATGACGGGTAAGATTGCCCAATGGAGGACGAGTTGGAAATTAGCTAGATGGGTATCTAGATATATAAATATGTAAAGTAAAATCATATATAATGTTTAGAAAATATTGAAATACGTATTAGTTCAAAGATGATTGGGGGGGGGGGGGGGGGGGAGCTGCCGAACTCACGCGCACCGTTGTTTCATTTGTTCCAAACAATTGAAACAATCCGTTCTAAATTATAATGCAATTAAATGCAAAGGCGCAAGCGAGCTGGACAAGAATGACGAAAATAATCCCTGGAGAAGGGGAACAAAGGGACAAAGGACAAACACAAATCTCCAAACACAGCTAGGTGACTGGTGAGCGAACTGTACATTAAAATGCAAGCTTCACCCTTGTTGGTGTTAGACTGGTGGCAGCTGATAAAACCCGTTTGCTCTACTGACGTCTAACCACTGGTTAGCTTAGTTGGTAGAGCGCTTCACATCTAATGGAGAGGTCCCGGGTTCGATACCCGGACCAGGCGGATTTTTTCGGTCGCTCACCAGTCACCTAGCTGTGTTTGGAGATTTGTGTGTGTCCTTTGTCCCTTTGTTCCCCTTCTCCAGGGATTATTTTCGCCGTTCTATATGTTGGATTTCGTGCATAATGCCACATGTTTTGCCGCTGCCTTCTGGCGTTTTTTTTTTTTTCTCTTTCTTTTTTACTTGCTGATCCTCCTCTGTTTCCTTATTGTTCGTTAAAAGTTTAAAAACCTCCGGAAACCCGAAGCCTCCACCGGCAGCTTCGTGGGAGCCGGTCCAAATGTCGTCCCTTTTTGTGAGTGGACAGGTGAACGACTGGCTTTCAATGAAGTCTCAGGATGCAAACTGTATATGATATAAGGATTTCAGCGGATGTACTAAGGTAGATAATATTTACACAAGAATATGCCGACTCCAGACTCCACGTAACCTGACATTCATGCAATTTCTGTGTGGAGTTACTTAATATCACTTCTACCCAGAAAAGCGATTATTCTTAGTGGGTCAAAACCAGGTTATTATGTTCAAAATCTGGTCAATGGCAGTTAATTCACGCGGAAATGAGTGAGATTCCTAGTGCCGCAGCCTTTTGTTTTTCAGAAATTTGGGCCGCACATACATTCCGGCTTTCCGTTTGTTTTCCCCGCAAAAATTGCTCGAATTTTGCCGAAACACGTGGTACTTAATTACCCGTACCAAACTGCGCAGGTGTGTCGTATGTTCTAAAGTAAATGTCAAAACAAAGAGGGAAAGCATAAATAAAACACACAAAATATATATGCGTAGAACAACGCTTACTAAAGCTATAAAATTGAGAAAAAGTTATAGAAAGTGAACGTTTATATCCCAGAAAATTTCGGTTTAAGTCTAACTCCCGTTCATTTAAAGGGGTACGCAACAAGGTGACGTGGCCCGCAAGCTCTCTACCTCTCGCGTCAAAGTCGGTCAGTAAGAAGCGCAATGCGTATCGCGCTCGTGACGTCAATGGCTCCTCCACGGCAAGGGGCACTGTAGTTGCAAGCGTTACCACTTGGTGGCGTCAGCGCGTTACAATCTGGTCTAGTAGAAATATCTGAGGAACTGTACGCCCTATGGCTTATACATAGCTTGCCCGTAACTCCATTCGCGGCAATGCCGGTATTTTATGTGCCACAAGCATTCGGTTCACCGTGTCAGTTTCGCACCTCAGTTCGAGAGAGCTAAGGTGCAAAACCCCTTATATACACCTGCAAGCAGTGTATATAAGGTATTCACTGGATGCCAAATATTTAAGCGCATTGGTTACAGCGGATCCCCGGGGGAAGGGGGGGGGGGGGGGGAGAGTGGTATGGTAGGCAGAGGTCAACCATACCTTTGCCACTCTCCCCCCTTTGTCTCCATTTGCCTCCGTGGTATGTCCAGAACGTGGTTGACATTTAGACAATGTAATAGGTGCTAAACTTTTTTCCACCTGAAGTCCAGACGCTGGCGACGCTACACTCTAAGAAAAAAAAGTCTGTGCGTCTACTTTCACCCCTAACACTCGGAGACCCAATCAGCGCAACTTACGGAGGCAGCTCAGCGAATGACGATGCCGAAACATCTGTTTAGACAAAAAAAAACGCGTCTGAGTTGGGACATCAAGCAATGCAAGCGTGACGTTTTGCATTGCTTAATGTCACAACTCAGACTGCGTTTTTCGGTCTAAACATATGTTTCGGCATCGTCATTCGCTGAGCTGCCTCCGCAAGTTGCGCTGATTGGCTCTGCAGATGTTGTGCGTGAAAGTAGACGTACAGACTTTTTTTAGAGTGTAGGAGCTGATGGGACCAATCAGACAGCATCAAAAGCGCACCGTCATTGTGCAGGTCATGTTTCTGTGTTCTGCGGCTGTAACAGACGGGCCTATGAGACTACACCCACGATTGCCTCTATTTTCCTTTTCCAACCATTTGCCACTCCAGCAAAACACTCACCACCAAGCGGGAAAACTGGGAACCTTTTGCGGCTTTCGCGGACACGTGTTGTTGGCGAGGTAGCGAACAATGTAATTTGACGAAGGTCCGAATACTTCTTAAGTTCGCCTGAGTGTTCGTTAGTGTAATGAAGCCTCAGTAGATTGTTTCATTCCATCACGTACTTGAAAGCCCGTTTACTCCACAACGCACGGTAGCCTGCTTTCGAGTTCTTGGATGGGGAGGAATCACGGAAAAACATTTTGATTTCTTGTCTGCCTCGAATCAGATTCAAAGTGACGACCAATTGGTAACTGATAAGTTGTTTCTTTACAAGGATGTCGAGCAGTGGACTGAGAACGACAGACGAGGTGTTTCACATGAAGGAACACCAATGTTGCGGTCAAGTGAATCGAAGGTTCGATAGCTGCTTGACTTGAGTTTTCATGTGTTCGATTAGCTTCAAGATTGAGCCAGCCACGCCGGTCGGTGCGTTGGCTATTCATCTTGGCTGCTTTTCGCCAAAAACGCTCTGGCACACACCTAAGGAGTTGGGCTGATTTCGCAATTACTTGATTCCGGAAAACCTGCTCGCTGCGTACGATTAATAAGGGAAATTGTCTGCCTACAAAAAGTGGGGATGGGTCTCGCAAAGTTGGAAGCTGTCACGACATTATGACCTATCGCGGCACCTCTAATATTTATATTATACCCCCGTTGAAGCATCAGCACTTCAGGTCCACATCGCTCAGGTTCTCCGGCAACAAAAAGTACTCAATTTCTCCGTTCAGGATTCAAAGTCAAGTTCAATGCAGAGAGGGTCTGCGTGAATCTCCGATGAAGACTCTCTTCACTTTGTCGGCATTCGTCTCCGTGCTGCCGGCTAGAATTATTTGGCCGAGTTTAAGTAGTATCTCTCTGTCTGTCAAATATACTGTTATTCAGCAGTTAACCTAATAGCTAGTCAACTAAGCTCCCATTTCAACCCGAAGAATATACTGAGATCGCTTTAGTGGGACATAGTACAATACATAACCCGCATATTCGTCAAAATTACTTCTTAGTTGCTATTAAAGCCTCAATTGAAATACAAGTATCAGCTGCTTAGTTGGGCACCAGCGCGTTAACATGCTCCTTGGATTAAGAAGCGCTTGCCTAATTTTCGTAATTTTCCTACAGCCTGTGTTGTTGACTGAGAGACGACTGGAGCTGTTTCTTAAACGCGGATAAGCACAAAAGCTCGAGTTCGCGTGCAGATAAGTCGTATATTCGAGGCATGCGAGTTAGCTGAAAATTTCTCTCGGCGGAACAATTCAGTCGTCAGCGCCGCTTTCGCTAGGTGATCAAAACTGGTTAGAGTCTGTTGCCGTCTCTCCGCAGCCCATAGTTTCGGTTTTGAACGAAATCTCCGAAACAAAAGTTTGACATGAAAAGAACAAAAAGTCCCAAGAAAACTAAACTGTGCCCTGCAAGTTTATGTGCACCGGGTACACTTCACCGTCGCAGTTCAATTACCATTAAAATAAGGCATTAAATAAAAGAAAATCTGTTAAATTGAATGCGCCACCCGTTCAGGCGGCCCAGCCGAACCGATGCGACCTGTTCCCAGCCGCCATGTTTGTTTGGTGGTGGCGCCCCCATAGGTCGCTGAAGTCGGGAATAGCACTAACAGCAACAAATGTTTTCTGTGCGTGTTCTATAATCGCTGAACCAATCATAAACAGGCCGAGTGACTCGCGCTTTTGACGCTGCTTGATTGGTCCAATTAGCTTGTAGCGTCGGCTGCGTCTGAACTGATGCTGAAACGAAGTACACAATTTTGTTGCAGTATCCTAAGGAAAGGTTCCAGCAAGTAGGACTTGTACAATTTGCGGAAAGCTTGTCTGGTTTTCTCGTCGTCCGCAACATACAGGAGCGCGGCGTCCAGCTACTCCAGCTCAGGCAGGGCACTGCTCAAGGACATGAAGTTGCCGGCTGGGGGATATTACATAGTAGGGGCAAAGTCCCGCAGCTCCACTGCCTCTAATCTGTCTGGACAAAGAGTCAGTGGCATCTCTGCCGGTGTTTAGTGCTTTTTCCGTCGCTCTTCTGGCTTCGACGGCCGTCACTCGGAGGCGCTCAAGGCGTCGATTGGAAACGCTTTTTTTGGTATTATCCTAAGAGCGAAAATATGCCGGTGACATGATTAGGAAGCATCAAAGTTTAAGACCTGAGACGACAAAAAATGAAATAACGAAAAGACGACAGAAGATCTCAATTTTGTGTCGTCTTGTCTGTTATTTTATTTCTCCTTGTCTCAGGGTGTATAATATGACGTTTCATGATCCGTCGTTGAAGACGGTCTGCCGCAGCTATCTATCCTTTCAAAGCACCGAAATTCCACATGGTTCAGCCGCGAGTCGTGTCGCTCAATGGCAATGCTGGAACTAACGCGTTATAAGTAACGACGTTACTGGTAACGCGTTAGTTTCTTCAGTAACATACTAACATACTCGTTAGAATCCCAAATGAGTAACGAGTAACGTCATTATTATTGTACAGAATCTGCTATCAGTTTACGTTACCCGTTACTCGTCACTTTTGATTAAAAATGGCCGCATGCTAGTTTGAAAGCAAAATAATTTTTATGCTGCGCACTGCAAAAAGTGGCAAAGAAACCCCAACAAAGCTATGTATAAACGGCGTCCTTTCAAACTCCCTCAGAAGACAGTTTCAACGTACCCACGACCGGGCCCAAAAGACGCGAGATTATCGCTTTGCGAAATTCCTAAGCGTCCTGGGTGCAGTCTTTGTATCGGAGCTACCAAGACCACCGTCGCCGTGCCCTGAAGGAGCAGCCGTTTCGCTGGAAAGAGACATCCGCTCAGAAGGCAACAGTCTGCCACCGATCGAAGGATTCTGCCTAATCGTCCCTAGCTACTTCAGCTGGTCAAATTCTTCTCTTCAAAATAAATACATTATCGTTCTTTCAACAACAGGAAGGATAAACTCTAAATTTGGAAGCATTGACGTTCCCACGGTGGGAACGTCAATGCTTCCAAAACAAGTGGCAAGGTTACCGCACGTCA